CACGCACGCACGCACGCCCATACAGCGACAGATTACGGTAGCGACTACCATCGTACCACCACCGTGCTACCAACTGCAACAATTGCCTAAGCCCTAGGCCAAGATCCTCCATCGGTTCAGAACATAACCAGCTGTATAGTAGGTAATGCGAACTTCACTTTTCCCCTTCAACGTTTCCTTTCCTTTGTTAGAACGTATGAATAGCCGGCACGGGTTCTAAACACGCTCTGCATATCAATGACATATTATCCACGCAAATAGACAACGAACAGGTTGTTTCTAAAATAAGGCCATCTAAGGTTACGCTAATTCGCTTGATATGCCGATTTTGGGCATTTGATCGAATGTGTAACGACAGCAGTAGTCGCCCACAACCAGTACGAGCGGAGTTCAGTATCAGCATAGTGGTGACATCTGTTGGCAGGTTTGCGTATGAACGGACGAAGAAACATGCGCATGGGTTATGGGGTGGACCCGGCGCATGCACTGATGCAGAAACTAGGTTAGAGAAAGGATCAAACAGTATCATTGACATCTTAAAACACGCTCTGTCTGACAGACGCTCTAGCATTCCTAATAGGAGCGTTAAGCGAAAATGAGTTAGCAGTCACAGTGTGTGAGTTTGAACAAGCTCAGAAACAGCTGTAATAAAATACGTCAAATCATCCATCATTGAGCTAATGCTAGTCTGGTGAGGTAGCGACCCCTGAATAACATCTCATTCACTGACATACTCTGAATTCCTACCCGCTGGCTAGGCTACCTACTTATACTACGAGAAGTACATTAAAATTTACAATATCTATGACATTAACATGTTAATATACAGTTCTGATACCATCTCAATGCTATAAAGACCAATGTTTCATTGAAATGCACACAGGTATATTATATCATCATGTATTCTTCCTAGCCATTTATATTATAGTGAAATTGGGCAAACTAATTAATATATATATTTATATATGAATATGGCAGTGAGGGTATATACTTATATACACACAGTATTAGGTATTCTATTAGTCGTTAACAATGCGGATTTGATACACTATGTATATATGATGGCTTTAATCGAAAAACTGGCCAAAATAGTCTGAAAAGTTGTGTAAAACTCACACCCTGAGTTCCTGATGCTATTGCCACGATAATTGCACTTAGAGTATTACATTAGAATTTTATAAAGTAGCAAATTGTAAACGGTTTGCCTTCACGTAGTCAAATATGAATAATAGATTCAGATATCTTCATTCGGGTATAGTAAAAGCTTTTTGAGAAATGGGCAAATGGTATACGACTTATAATTAAAGTTCCATTTGACACATCTACCAATTTTACATCACAAATACCAGCATGTTATCGCAAAATTTGAAGATATGTATTTATAGTTATGAGTGCAATATATGTTTATATATATACATATATAATTTATGTACAATAGCATTTTCTGTCGTGAATACCAGCAGCTTTCTGTGGTTTGCGAGAGAAACGGAGCGTAATATTGACCATCCACTCGACCACGTGAACACCTAAAGTTCATTAGTTTCTAATGGAAGTACTACGACTCTCGCGGCTATATATATATATATACCAGCCTGACAGTTCCATGATCACTCACCTCGTCTAGAACTGATAACTGATTCCGTCTCCGTGCATGTGTCCACGTCATCACTAGCTGTCAGCTTGGAACTGCAAGGCAACCACACGCAGCGTCCATACGTCAATACACCGCTACCTCAGCTCCGAGTACCACCAGTCGAAGATATTAAGACTGGCAACAAGATTATTGTAGTGCGGTATTCAACAGTGAGTTTGCAGCGTATACTAGCCTAATTGCTGCTTTGTTCATATAGGTGTTTTGTGCGACTCCTTATAAGGACTTCTTCATCAGATCTATATTTGCCTGGGTTTATGATAATTGTAATGAAGGTGGTTTGACGCTACCAGTTTAGGAATTTAATTATGAAAGCATGTTACAAGCACTGAACATGAGTGCAGCAAGCATTGATCATCAAGAAATGTATCTTCTTATAATTTAATTAACATGAACCTATCATGACCAATTATAATTTTGTTGTTGCCAGGTTTCCTACATAATACATCATTACCACATACTATCACCGCTTCACTTATCTAAATAGTGTGTCCCTCTAACCATAATGTAATTACCACTATCTAACCATACACAGTCAAACTCACATATAATCAGAAGCTAATAATGACAAATTTGTCACTACTAGCCATGACAAGTTTGTCATTATTAGCTCCTGATATAATGCCCACTTTAGGAAAACTCCAAAGTGTACTAAAAGGTTGTTTCACTGTATAACAGCCACTCAAGATAAATGTCCTTTAGAAACAAGCGATCTCTCTTTGGATGTGACAACTGTCACATGTTTGACTGCATATATACTGAGTGGGAGGAGGGGACACGATAATACGTACTGAAAGGAAGGTGGCCGGCTGTCACCTATTCCACCTGTGCGTTCTACGTGCAGGTCCTGACCTATGCTCTCCGTGCACTGTGACGTCGTATCTGACACACTGCTACCAGTGCCCTCTGCTGGAACCAGCTGCAAAGAAGAAATCAGAACATTACACACGACTGAAGCTAACTCCCATATATCACTATTGCAGTTTATTGGATTTATTATATTATATTATTATATTATATTATTATATTATATTATATATTAATAGTTATATTGGTATTTCACCTTCTGCTGAAACCAGCTGCAAAGAAGAAATTAGAACAACATTGCACAAGGCTTAAGCTAGTCCATATATCACTATTGCAGTTTATATATCAGGTATAGGTATATTGGTATATTTAACCTTTTGCTGAGATCACTCACTGAGTACAAATTATGAACATTATTTTCAACTGAATTTACTGCATAGTTGCTATATGACTACTGAGTATTCCTGTACACATTGGTCAGTTATTAGGAAAATGTTTGCGTTTAATGAATTACTATTGTTCATGTGTTGGCATGCAACACTGCTACCTTATTCTTAACTTATTTACTCATGTAACAGATGTGCACATTTGTCTTGGGGTATCCCTAAAAGGTACTAAAATTAGCTCTCAACTAAGAATGAACAGCTAATTTTAAAAAGACTGGTGTGAAGTACAGACACCTCTAAGTCTTCTTCTCGTGTCTATCCGTGTCCATTCGATTCCTATTCAACCCGAAATACACACCAAGCATTCCCCACCAACACCACCACCATCACCACCA